TCCCTGCTGTTCCCCCATTTCGTTGGATTGAAATAGTTAATCTTTTTCTTTCTTACACAGGTTACACTACATGGCATTCCAAGAAAATAGTCCTTATCTTCAAGTCGTCTCTATAAATCATTTACATTACATACAAAAACATCCATTTTAGCACTTTCGATGTGAAACTTCAACCTGATTCTTCTGGGACACTATTACCTATTAAAAGTAGAATTTTGATGTCTCCCATAGATCTTGTTTAAGTAACTCAAAGATAAAAACTAGAAAAGCTGAACAAACCTTGCCAGAAGTGCTGATACCTCTAATGCAGCAAATAGCAACAATTGACCAAGCTGCAAGTAGACAGAGCACTATCGGCCAGTGGATCCCTCCTAACTGTTCTATAGTCGTAGAGCTATTCAGAGTCACTCTGTAGAAGAAATAATCCACAGTGGAGCTCTGTTGACACTCTGGTACAAACACTAAATGAGGAAAAAAAGACACATATTCAAAAATTTATTTGGGTGCTCTGGTAGCATCTTGGAGGTCGAAAATCTGAAGAAATACCTGTCTTATTTTCATTAAGAGGACATTGAGTCCATGGCAAGGGGTCTTGAAAGGAGTTGAGCAGATACCACAAAATCCAGGCTATCAACGTGTTGTAGTACAGTCCAACCAAAAATGATACCAGCATGGAGGCCACACCTTAGTGACAGCATTGTAAAAAATGTGAGCTCACGCAGGCAAAGAACAAGAACCTAACATGGCCGCTTTGTTCACCTATGCCAGTCAGATAGGGGCTGATGGACCTCCAGACCCCCACGCTGCCTTTTCTCAGACGTTGGCCGATGGCAAACTCCAGCAGCAGCAGAGGCATTCCTTCCAGCACCAGTAAGATCAGGTAGGGAATCAAAAAGGCACCTGTGGAGTATAAATTCTCACTGAAGTGTCACTCTAAAAGCTAAGCAGGATGTGACCCACTCAATGGTGAATTTTCACGATCTAAAACAATTCCAACTCAAAACACTAGCAGTTTTAGAAAACATATTTTTGCACCACATCTCTTTTGCGCAGAGCAACATCCCTGTTGCAAAGAGAATGTGTTACCTAATTTCCCTCTGGGATCAATAAAGTATTTTTGAATTTGAATCAAACTGAATTGAATTTAGCTCCAAATCTCCAATTACTTGTTTTTTTTTTTTTCTGCTTCAAAGGCAATTGAGCCATTACGCAAGGCTTTTATTTGAGTAAATATTAGAAACCATAAGAAGAAACTGTTGGTGAGAGACAGAACAAGTCCTGGCACAGATAATAAAAACAGCTTAAAACAAGTGTCTCAGGGTAAAGTGGCTGGGTAAAAAAGAATTAGCCACACTGTAATTCTCTTGAATTGCTTGGAAAGTTTTAAGTTTATGTTGTTTTATGGAAATATACTTTTGAAGGGCACTAGATTGCTCTAACCCAGCAGTGGTCCTGGAGAGCCACTGTCCTTCTTCTTTGACACCTGAATCAGATGTCCAATAATAATGTAATAATCTTTGTTAAACATTTGCTGCAACAATGGAGTAACAGGGTAAAGAAAGAACATGTCTGATACCGTTAATTACATAACCAGCGATAAAGATCATTTTGTGGAACAGTATTATAAAGTTATTATAAATATAGATAGCCATAAAAGTTCCCATTGAGAGGTTTTACACATCAACAAGCATCACATTGAAAACACAGCCTATTTATAAAGCTTCAATCAATTGGGTGTTCAACTCGTTGGTTACAAAGTCACAATACAATAGATTATAGTTAAAAAACAAAGCTCATTGTGCAATACTCTACACAAGTGGTTCTCAAAGTAGGGGTCCTGATTACTTTGTGGGTCAGGACACATCAAGTGAGGGTCCCCAAATGATTTCTAGACATCAGTTTAAATGCAGATAAATTGTTAAACTATTTTCACCACAGTTTTGAAAAAAAAAAAACAATAGTAAATGAACTAGTATTGTGATTATTAGGTTTGTTTGTATTTTGAACTTGTTTAATGGAGTTTTTAGCTTAGTTTGCATATGTAAACCATTAATATCTGGTGCCTTAAGTTTCTTCAGCTGGTATTTTGTGGGTCAGAAGCTAAAACGTTTGAAAACCACTGCTCCAAACTCTTAACAAAGAAATGCAAATTTTCTTTGAACCAAGAGAAAACGAGCTGAACTCTGACTCTGAGTGTCAAAAACTCAGGTGAAAGTTAGTGATTACTTCGATAAAACTGGTACTCTTGAAAATCATTAATATAACTCAGTGGTACATTTATGAACTTTTTCTTGAAGCCATAAATGAGTGATGTATTTAACTTCTTGTTCAGCTGTGGGCAAGAACTCATTTTCTTAAGGTAAAAACAGTTAATGTATTTGGTAATACTTCTGACATTTTGAAACCTTTCAGAGAATAAAGCAAATTAATACTGCTTTAAATGTCTGCAAGATTGCATAATTGGGATTACATATTTGTATTAACTATGTATTTTCATTCATTCTGCATGCCATGTGTCTTTCTCAGCTTACCTCCTCCATGACTTTGACACAAGTAAGGGAATCGCCACACGTTACCCAAACCAATGCAGAAGCCCACGCAGGTTAAAATGTACTGAGCTTTGTTGTCCCATTGAGGCCTCTCTCCTGCCTCCTCTTTTTCCCTTTTCTCCAGTTCTTCATAATCGGGGATCCGGAGCTCTAGTCCTGGGTTAGGAAGCACCAGTCTCATGGTGACAACACGCGAATGTAGAAATTGCTGTGTCAGCTATTGTCTAACATTGTGCATAGATGTTGAATGCTCACATGATAAGTCTGCGCCAATCAGTTTATGATCTTATAGTACTTTGGTCCATTTAGCCGATTACCAGAGCAACTATCTGTATTTACTCAAGATTGTGTCTGTGCTGTAGTTTCCTTTTTAATTTTTTTAATTATCAACACGTTTAAACTATATTTAAAAAGAATTTTTAAATATTGGTGTGCTATATAATGTTTTGAAAAGCATGACAACCATTTTACTGTGTCTTTTTGCAAAATTTTACCTTTTATTTCTACAATTTAAAAAAAACATAATGTATTCCAAGATCAACGTTTTTTTTCCTGGTTGAACATAATGTCCTGTAGGTTTTTAGTCTATATTTGAAACTTGGCACAAATCTGCTTTAGTGAGAGTTTTTAACAACCTTCTTGTGGCAAATGATTCCATTGAAAATGTGGTCCTTGCCATTATTTTAATCTCACATCTACAGCACCAAGTAAATATCTGTGGTACCGCACCAAGCTGGTTTAGCCAGACAAAACCAATAATATAGCTGGTTCTGAATTATCCACTGCTCCTCTGTCTTGGGGTTCCACAGGATTCTACCTTAGGTCCCCTGCTTTTATCCCTTTACCATCTTCCTTTGGGTTCATTACTCAGGAATGTTTCATTGCTATGCTGACGCATGTGATGTTATATATATATA